AAGGTAGCTAAAATAGAGAAATGAGAACAATTTTACTTAGGTTATTTGGATCAAAGGAGTTTTCTCAGTATGATCATCATGGTAAAACCCTTTAAAGGAATTCTTGGCTTTCCTCTTACACAGATAATAAGTAAGAATAGATTTCTTTGGAAAATTTACTGGTATTTCTTGAATGAAGATTTCTTCAGTCTCCAGGTCACCAAACTCCAGTGTGTGCTTCATATCCAGTCCATAAACTTCCCCATCTCATTTCTGGGGCTGCACATTTGCAAAGCATTTGAAGACAGAAAATGCTCTATACTGTAAGCACTAAGCAGTATTTTCACAGAGCACTGATAGAGTTTCCCTAAACAGATGCTCACCAGGCTCTTAGCTTCCCTTGGTTTGAATAGGCTGGAACCAGAAAGGCAATCTCTCTTTGTGGACCTTCCTAGTACACTTCTTTGGCACTGGCTTTCTTCCTATTCCTTGTTCATGGAACATGGACTTTGTGGTCTGGGCACCTCAGTCCAGTACTAATCCTTCTCATTCTCCTCAGTAGCTTACACGCTTACTTTCACAGAGCACTAACTCGGTCTGCCCACTAGCTTTCAAGGACCTATTTCCCCAGGATACTGCCTTTTCCAATGATCTGATGTGAAGTTCTTTTGAATGGGAGCCATCCAAAATGAACACTTTCTCCATTGCTTCTGGTGTGGGAGATAAGAAGAGATGCAGTCCTGACGATATATCACCAACTCCACATCTACTCGGGCATTCAGCAATTTCATAATCTATACCTAAAAAAGTCAGATTCCCTGTATCATCACAAAAATGCATCAACTCCCTGCCTCTGAGGGGTGTCTCCCTCTCTATGCCCCCCCTCCCTCTCTCATGCTTACATCATGGTACGACCCAGTCATTAGGGTTTAGGGGCAAAGGCACAAGCCTGAGAAGTTCATGTCTGGGGTGTCACAATACTGGGGAGTCCAAGAAGTTGGTGCTCAAGGCAGGATGCAGGTAGGAGCGAGGCAAGGATGTGGGCAGGAGCAAGGCAGAGGGAACAGGGAACCAAGGAGCAGGAACCCGGACTAGGAGCAAGGAATCAGGCACACTGGGGCCAGACAAAGGGAACCTGTCTTGTTGCAAACTCACAGTACACTGCAACTACTGCTTCTGTGCAGCAGTCACACCCAAGCACGTTCCTGGGGCCAGCTGTGTGCACTCAGGCAGCTTGCAGCCAGTCTCACCTAGGCTGTCAGTGCCAGCTGGGACTTGTCTGGGCAGCAGGCAAGCAGACTCCTGACAGCTCACCTGTGATGTGGGTTACTCAAGTCTGAATCACGGACAGCAGGAAGTTGAACCTGGGTATCCCGCATGACAGGTGAGTATCCTAACCTGCTGGCTGTTGTGGTGTGAGTTTCTGTTTCTCTACAAAATCCATCCTGTACCTGAGAAATTGCCACTGAACCGTGTTTCCTGTGACAAGTTCTTGATTTTGGCAAAATTAACATGTTCTGGTGAAATCCAAGTCATTGTTACGTTTCTGATCAGCTGTAAACTTAAAATGGGGCTGGATGTTATCCAATGGCTTCCATTCTTCTTTAGATATTTGGGGCCATTGGACTGGAATGGACCTCCTTGGCCATCAGGTCCAGTCCCCTGAGTTACCATGGTGTCCAAATGGGTGCACCCAAATATCCAGTATTGCCCACACCACAGCAACATGCCCCCAGGTTAAAAAAACAAATTCAGTGTGCTGTAGGCAAAGGTGAGGACAAACAAGAATATTACCAATCCTGTGGCCATTACAGCAAGAGCTGCTAATTTGTTATGTTAAAATAGACCCAGGTGATTCTAGGGAGGATGACGTGTCCCTCACTAGAGGGGAGAGAAAAGAAAAAGAATGGGCTTTGCCAGTCTGATCTGGTTGGGGGAAGGAAGAGGAACAGTAGATGGGGAGAGGGTTCCTGATCCCAGATCTGACAGTCGGTTGGATCCTGAATGTGTGAACTATAATGTAATGCATGATATAACATAAAGCATAATATAATGTAATTCATGATATAATGTGTTCTAACATAATGTGTTATCCTGAATCCATGAGCTATGTGTAAGCTTAGGCTTCTTAGCCAAAGCTAAGTCAGACATCTGAGAAGCTTTTAAGTATTGTTAGGACCACCAGTGCACCTGCTGCCAAATGGTAGCTCTTACCAATATCCAGTGCTTCAGAGGATGTTCAAAAAAACACTTTCAATGAAGTGGCCAGATTTTCCAAAAGCTCTCAGTAGCTGGCAGCTCTGCTTTTTTTCCTAGTGGAAGCTTTTGGGTACTGAATGCTCCTGAAAGTCTTCTTCTGGAGCTTTTGTCTAAAGTGTTTTCAGTGACACTTTTTCCAACACCAGCTGGAAAGAAGGAAATTGACTGAAATAGAAGCAGGTCAGAGAGCTGTTGCGCAGGATCAGTGATGCTAATGAATGGAGGGAATAGGAAGCAGGTGAGCAAAAGAAACAAACATATGGAAGACCATGAAAAGCGGAAATGCATAGGAGAAAACAAATTTGAAAAAGAGAATGAGGAAACTAAATGGGAAAGGAGGAAAACTACTAAATATAGAATGAAAAAAGAATAAAAAATGATAAAAAGAGGCTGGGTGGGGGGGAAGGGGCTTGGCAGCTTATATAAGGCCTAGAGGAAGTCTGGAGAGAAAATTTTAAGACAGGAAAGTGCAGAAAGATAACTGAGGAATAGGAAGGGGAAAGCATGAAATATAGCAGACCACCTGGAATACTCAGTGACAGCAGGATTAGTCCCTCCATATGACAAGGCTCAACATGTGTCCAAGGTCATCATGTAGTGAAGGCCACATTTTCTTTTCTGAGATCTCCATTTTTATTTCAGCTGGGCCAGGAGAAGAGTCCTGGAGAGTTGCAGCTGTCACAGCTGTACGTAAGTTTGTTAAGGAAAAGAAGTGAATCTTGCTATTCTTAAGTAGGAACAAAATGGTGACCTTGCAAAAATACAAACTGAGAGATATGTGTCACAACCCAAGGGTGTGATTTTTGTTTTGTGAGTGCTTCGGCACTTCTAAATTGTTCCCGCTAAATTGCAGCTTCTTTGCACGGTGGAGTTTTCTGCTGCAGAGGAAAACCCCGGTGCAAAAGAATTTCCGCCATCAGTAGCTTTCTTTGCAGGGTGCATTTCTTTGTTGCAGCACAGAAATGCACGTTGCAAGGAGTTCCCGCCATTCGTATTCAAATTTGTGCCCCACCATTGGCTAGTTCTAAATTATTCCTACGTGGCGGCTAGCGATTGGCTTGCTAGCCGTATAAGAGGCTTGAGTGGTTTCCGCCCAAGTTGGAGGACTCCACGAACACCAGGAGGAGGAGACTTCACGTCT